AATTAATAGTTCACTGAATACCTCTTCAACTAAGATACAGCAGTCTAAATGTAGAACATAAGGAATAAATGTTCCCACCTCAAAGAGGAAGAAATATACACTAATACTACCATCAAATATTGTGTCATAAAGAATTTGGGAAAAAATAGAAGATTAAATATTATTGGTAACAAATGTACCACTATAGCACACACAAACACACATCTTTGTAACAACAAAAGATATTAAACACATCAGAGACAAGGCAAACTGTCGAATCTTATGAAAATTTGAAGAATCATACTGGAATCTTGTACCAGAACCATGACACAGGATCACCATTACCAGCTGTGTCACTGCACTGGCTTCTTACAGTTTTAAATGACTGCTGCTTACAATAATTGGCACGATTCTTGCTCTTCACTTGCAGTAAAAGATAATTTTTCTTGTGTTTTTTTTGTGGGTCTGTACAGCTTGTCTCTCTTCAGCAATGAGTTATTCTGTATCATAGTGTCTTTTTCAAAAGGAGAGTCCAGAAATGGGACTTTGCATGACCTAAGGAGAGAATTTTGATAAATAAAACAGGTTAAAACATGGTAGAGGATGATTGCCATCATCACCTGTACAATGTGATAGTAGTCTTGAGAAAATAAACCACCAACAGAGTCAAAATACAGGTCATACAAAAGGAAGATATAAATGAAGATCCTCAAAATTGCCATTTTTAAAAGTGAGGTTTCAACTATACAAATATGGATTTCAGTATTTAAATTTCACCTCACTTTGTGGGGTAAAAGATGATTGTTATATTATAAATCAATTTTTCAATATTTAAAAAAAAAATCCAATGAATGTATTTTTAACAACTTGCAATATTTTAAAATCAATTTTTAACATAATTTATTACATCCATTTTGAAATCACAAGCAAATCCTGCAATCTGATTGGTTCCCTGCAGCAGTGATTTCAGCATAAATCGCACGATTTTGAGCTCTAAATTGCACGATTTTGCACATCAACTGATATGAACCAATCACAAGAGAGATGTCATTTTCTAGCCAATTGTATCAAGGAATCCATCTGAGTGTTGGGCCACGGCTCAAAAAAAATTTTCTGAAGAACGATTTTACCGTCAAAAGTCGTAAAAAAAGACTGAAAAAGCCATAAAAAGGGCTTAAAAAGACCAACTAATCACTTAAAATTGTCAAAAGCATCTTTGTAAAGTAACTGCTTAAGTAAGTTGAAGATATTACAGCGAAAAGCAGTGGAGGAAAATGCAATCGGCATCTTTTGAATGTGACTTCTTGGCGATTGATCGTGGAAAGTGGTTTCCTTTCAATCT